GAGGTTGCTGCAAAAGTCCGCCAGGAGGCCGCCGTTGTGGCCACTTCTCTTTTAAACACAGTTAACGTGAATTTAGAGAAAAAACCGTAAACAAACATCACTTGTCACTAGGTCAGGGCAAACGATTACCCTACCTTGTGGAGTAAGCAAAAATGGCTCTAACAATAATGTCATGATTATGGTATGCTCAGATGTCCCTAAACCTACCCCCGTCACATTGGGGGTAAGGTATCCGATGATCAATACCAATGGAAGTCATTGTACATGCTGATGAGTTTCAGATCCAAACCTGTAAACCTATTACGCATTACTCTTAATCCAAACTCTGCACACTATGGCGAACCCACACATATTATACTAACACTTGAATCCTCCAATGATGTAGAAAGCGTTTTACGCTCTGCTAGGGCACTAAAACATTGATTCTTTGGGATACGCATCTATCCTGATTCCCTTGGAGCGCACGACAACCAAAAGAATCACCGCAGAAAGACACGGCAGTCAAGGTCGCCTAAACAAAATCTTCATGCATGAGGTGCGAGAGCTATATTCTAACGGTTTTCAGGAGGCCGAGAAGAAGGATTTAGCAAAGTAACGGTTCTTTCATGTAACGATTTCTTGGACAAGATTGCGGCGCTATTGCTCAACTGGGTATCTCTCTCACCAAATTATAGTGGATGCGGTAATAGAATCCTGAAACTTGTTATTTAGTCAGAGCAAACAGCAACAAATGTTTTAGATGGATGGCGGAGAAATCGGAAATGCCTTCCTTCTGTACTTCAGTCAAAGGCCGCAAAAGTTTTGCATAGTTCGGATATCAAAGCCTTTCCAGCATCAAACGCACAGGCGATGACACAGGAGCATAACTTGACCGTTCCTTTATTCCGTTGATTGCATATTTTTCAGAGATAAGAGTTTGCAATAAGTCTACATCAGGTTCTTTCGTTAGAAGCAGAACTCGAATATGGATGGCAGTGGGCAACACAGTATGACAGGTGTACAGAAAAGTTCCAACGCTATCCACTTGGGCGAAATACGTAGCCCTACGTAACCACGGCACTCAACTATTACGAGAAGACAAAGCCGCATATTAGCAGTGCATCGCAAATACCTTCAGTGCCAACCACTAGCTACTTTACAAACATATGGATGATTTACGATAGTTAAGGCTAGGAATTCCTCCGCTCAAGACGGCTGAAGAAACAACAAGAACGGCTATGGAAGCAGCAAACGCGTTGCGGATGCAAAATGCCCCCACGTTTCGGGGGGTCTTGCTACCAAGCGATCTTCTAACCTTTGTCGTCTCTTCGCCAGGACTTAATCACAACACGTTTACTGAAGAGACTTTGTGCAAAAGCTTTCCATCATCTAGACAATCAGGAACTACTATACAAACTCCAGTATCGGGGTATCGGCGACCCTCCTCAAATCACTGTGTCAACTTTCTACTTCAACGGTAATTAGTGGTCCGAGTTGGGGGCACTTTATCAGACCCCAAGCAGTCGAGTGTTGTGTGCCGCAAGGCTCGATTATAGGTCCAATCTTTTTGTTGTTTATTAATAAACTTGCGTACACTTCAAAATATTTACTTTTTGCCGATTATATCAATAGTTGGCGAAACATTTGGATATATGCTCTCCAGAGTACTTCTAGGAGTGACCTAGACAAGGTACTTCAATGGTCAACCCGAAATGTATGGCTATTCAAAGTGAGCAAAATGCAAGGTACTTTCCATCTGGCATCAGAGCAGCTACTCATACCGACTCGGAACGAAGGTACTGAAACCAAAACTGTCAAAGGTGACCTGGGTGCTCTGGTTCAATATGACTTAGGTTGCTTCAGGTAATCCGAAAAGACCACGAAGACTGGAAGCCAACACGTCAGGCTGCTGCGACGGGCTTTTGGACAAAGAAGCAGCTGCGCATTTTGACAAATGCTCAGTGCGTATGGTTTCCCCCTATGTCAAATACGCAATTAAAGCCTATCATTCATGATTAAAACACTAACTTAACGCACTGGTAGAGCCACAAGGTCAGGCATCTAAGAACGTAATTAGAGTGCACAAACATTCTTACTAGGAGATGCTGAAACGAGTGGGGGTATTTAGCGGAAGCTATGGCAGATTAAGAGACGACCTGATTATGGCATACTTGATTCTGCACGAGCCGCATCAGCAGAAAATAAAAATCCGGTAGGTTACTCCTTGAAACTCACAGAAGAGTATAGCCGTCTGGAGTGCCACAAGAATTTCTTTTCCATTCGTGTATGTCACCGGCGCATTGATCTCCCACAATCTGTCGTTACGGCACCAACACTAGCAGTGGTCTCAACCATGGACTGGCAACAGTCGAATTGCGGGTTCGAGCCCTACCAAGGGTCCGATGGAATGCGCACTGCTGATGATTCCCGAAAGGATGAAACGCGCGTACAGTGCTTTTCCGGGCGTGTGGCGGCTGTCTGAGTGAGTCTAGATGTGACGAATTTCTACCTATACCTTTCAACTCCCCGTACTACTCTTTTGTAATTAAAAGATGGTTGGATGATGCACTCATCGACTTACGCTTTGTAACTTAGTATTAATCAAAGAATGTGACATGTATTTATATGATGTGAACTGTGCGCTCTGTGAATCTACGCGAATAGTAGAACTACAGTGGAGCAAACGATAAATCTTACTTTTCATATTTAAAGTGTGTATTTACTATTAATATTATTATTCATTTTATTATTTATATTACTATTAGTTTGACATCCCCATCGACTATCCAAAGAGACTTGTAAAGCAGCACTTCTTAACCCGTATAAATTTGTTACACATTGTTCATTAGTCATTGTAGCCTTGAGTAGTGGTACTACAATCATACATCTAGTATTTCATACCTTGAATCCAACCGACATATCATAGTGTAGCGACGACGTGATAATGAAGCCTAATCTTTATTGGCGCAACCATAAGATATCTCGTCACCCATACAGGCGTACATTAATGTGTTATGTTTCCTTCCCCGTTGAATCATCTCTCCTGGATTCCGCTCGCAACACATCCATGTACTCTTTGAGATACGGGAATAATTCTTATATTCTGCCCCCTGTAGCTCTGGTTCCACGCGTCCCATCCTGACCGATCCGGAGTCGTTCGATAGCTCATGATTTGCTTGAACGTAGATGCATTGCTGTGTTTGTGGTTGTTCTCATAGGATACAAAAACGGCTGTTTTGTCCGATTTATTACTTTCTCGACAAAGGTTCTCTCCATTTTGTCTGGCTCTGGCTCACTACCGGGCGCCACTCGTGCCCCGACTTCGTCTCTTTCCGGCAGGTAATTGTTACTCTGTCTGCTCTCCTTTACTGCGCCCGTTCTACTTTCCGTCTGCTTTCGTTTTAGTAGTATTTCTGTCCTACAGGCAAATACTGTCTTCCGCCTCCCTACACCCGCCCCTCCTCGATGTTGTTGTTCTCACGCATGCCACGACCGCAGTAGGTCGACATTCATCCAGCTTTGGGACACCCAGTTGTCAAGGTTGAGGTTCTCTCCTACCCGATCGAGTACAGCATAGGGGCCATTTTAGCGTTTCCTGAACTTCCATTATCTTGGCCCATGCAAGCTTTGGGCGATTGTGATTTCGTGCCATGACTTGTTCTATTACGCAATGCATCGCGTACCTGATATCGTAGTTGCGTTCATTCCTTGCTTGTCGATGCCTGCTTCATCTATTGGCGGTTGTTTTCGAACCTTTGAGATATGTTGCTGGGACGTCCCATTTTTGCGTAAGAGTTATGAGTGTACCAAGTGGAATTCTTGGTGGTCTGCCAAACTGTAATTCGAATGACACAACTTTGGTGTTCGACTGCTTGCTGGCTGTATCCGCGAGGACTACCCCAGGCAATGCTTCCTTCCTTGGCAACTTTGTACAGTTTATCCACGTCTGCATTGTTCGATTAAACCGTTTAGTCAGCCTGTTGGTCTGTGGATAGTAGGGTGACGTGCGTCGTCTCTGGATGTTCCACTTTTCCAATACTCTCTGAAACGCCGTCAAACCAAAACGGAGTCCTTGGTCGGTAACAACACACTGTGGTATTTCATGCCTTGCAGGTACAATGAGGTCTAACGCTGGTGCAACTGTTTCACTTGTTTGATCTTTGCTCAGCACCGCTTATATCCATGGAGTATGATGGTCAATCATCACTAGGATGTACCTGCTTAATGATAGACTGCATAGTAATGGCTTAAAAACGTCCAATCCCGAAAACTGGAATGGTTGGTTGACTATGATAGGTCGCATTTGAGACCATGGTGCATCCGTAACGCGGTTCGTTTGACAAGATGTGCATCCGCAAATGTATGGCGCGACGTGCGTTCTCATGCTTGACCAAAACACCCTCTTCTGCAGCAGGTCGAAGATTCTCTCGAATACCACATGGGTGATATCAGAAATAAAGTTTCCTTTCCCAGATAAAACACACGATTTGCACCCAGCTGAAGGATGCTGTATTTAACATAGTTCTTCTCCCTCACTCCGAACCGCCTGCTCTAACAATCAACGCTACAGACTTTAAGGTAGGAGCTGTTCTCCATCAACACTTTTGGGGGCAGTGGCATCAACGCAGTTTCTATTCCAAACGCCTGTAACCAGCTGAATCCCATTGCACCATTTAGGCATGGTTACGCTTAGACTACGAAGACGAGTTCTTCGCGTCAACATGTTATCCTCTCTGGATTTATGTGATACACATTCTAACCATCCAATGGAATTTGTCAAAAAATTCCTTTTCTAAATCCGTAACGCCGTTGTTCCACTGCAGCTTGACAGACAGCTTGGGCTCATGCATACAAATCACCAAAGTTTGCCTGGTAATCCTACTGTCCAATATTTCACGATGCTTGTCTCCAAAGGCCTGAACCACAGAAAGTAAGTCATAAAGCATTTGGTGAATGAGATTATATTGAGATTAAATATGGGCAATTCAGTGACCAAACAGCGCTTTTGCAAAGCGAAGTGCTCAATTTCCATCCAAACAGTTTCGAACAGTTTCGAATGCGTGTCTCATCAGCCTCTCAATTGCATCTTGGTTCTCCGCGCTGTTCACAATTGATTTGTAGAACTCAACGAAAACTGGTTCCGCGGTCTGAAATGAAGGAGAGGAATGGCGTCATTAGGTATACCGTAGATAACATCAGAGCAAATTACAAACGTCAACGAAGGAACTCACCACGTATAGTTCCTTTGACATAAGCTTCATAGCTTTTGTTTCGGCGTACTCTGTCAGAAATTCGGCCATCTTCTCAATGTCAGGGGAGATGTTGATTAGGTTTACAAACTCTTCAATTGTTTGCAGTGCGGTCTCTATTGCGGCGTCAGACTGGAGAATATCATTAATGTCTGTAACTCCGGTTGTGCAAAAGTTTTCGCCAAACCCTGGTATTTCGGTAACGAATCTACAATGGATTGTGACTAGGTTAGCCATCTTTTAAAACAAACTACAAAATTTTGATTGCACCTTCGAAACTCACTTGGTAAATGCCTTCCGACCGAGAGCTTCCCTCTCCGCCTCGGTGTCCACGTACGGGTCGAGTTCAGCGAGCAGGCAATCAGCTTCGGCCTTTGTCAAAACAGTCATTACTTCAAAGTGCACGTTGAAATGATTTTCTTGGAAACAAAACCGAGTACTATTTATTCGCTGGAACCCAAACCGTTCTAATCCTAGGAACCAATCGCCATCACACGGCCTACTTCTCTTTATGCGTTTATTGTATGAACCGTGAAATTGGACAAGGTAATCCACTTCCTTGATGTGTTATCTCGTGTTCGGTAATATAACGTAATGCGATAACATAAAACTTGACGGATGGCCCACACGGGTTTACTCGCTACGTCCGCAGTGCATCTATAGATCATAGCTAATAATAACAAAGTCGATTTTAAATCATGAATTAGTAGCAGATCATATGTAAACGTGACAGGTATGTTGCACTGCCGTAAGTCCGAAGTTCACGTTGTTGCGATTATTTCGAAAAGAAGAACCAAATGATGACATTGGAGAATGCAATTGTCTTGGCGGATTAGAAGTGGGATTACTGGGTATGATCCATCCAGAAAAGCAAGAGTGATGGCTAAGTCATATAAACTAGGATAGAGCATAGGAAGTGGAAGGAGGCTATAGGCTTTATTCGGCATCGACATATTACTACAGAACGAGACGACGGTGTCTGTGCTAGGACACGGTGTAATCGTTTGGTCTAGTCGCCTAATGCATAAAAACATCTTCGTGAATTTTCTTGTTGGCCTGCAACATTAGTCACAAGGAAAATTGCACAAGCTGCATTAGGTGTATGTTGGTGTTCTACAAACGACGAGCCTCACAGATGACAGTTTAGCAATCGAGACTATGAAGACCAGTTCCAATAATGGTGTTCATTAGCTTTGATAGCTGATTTTACACCTCTGCACCAACCTACTCCGTCATGCTTGTCAGTGGACGCTGTGCATCCAGTCGTGCATGCGAAAACGTTGTCAGATTTTGTCGCCATTCTGGTGCAACTTTTCACATGAGGCCAACACTCGCTTACGCACCCGCCTCATCGGATCGAGTGAGTTAGAAAGCATTCGCTGGAACTAAGCTTCAAACTAAATTCAAAACCGACCTCTGTTGAATATAGGAATGTTTCGGCAATTTTGCACAAATCTGCCTTCAGCACATCATGCAACTCTTCCAGTCTCAAAGACTCATGACAGAATCAGCGACAGTATTGGAAAACTATGCACATTTTAATTCCCTCTTGGATTCATTCTGCTTCTTTGCATGATCCTAACTCAAATTTGAGCCGATCACCGAGGCATTTTTAACAGAAGGCCAGATTCTCGTTGGAGTCAGAGTCGATTTAATGTTTTTCACTAAAATGCTACAAATATGCTATTAGTTGTTACGATAGCTCACACTTTGTTATCAGGATAATTATGTGTTAGTGAATGCGCAAATACGCGTTTATCTGTGTAAATATCGGGTGTGTTTTGTTTGGAAATGTTGTTGCTGGTGAATATAACTTCCAAATAGAACTTTGGATCTCCAAGCCTAATTATTGTTTATTTAAGGACGTAACAACGCTATTCCCAACCCAATGAATACTTTCCTCATCGAATTTCACACGTTTGCTCCGAGCACCTGTACTATTTAAGGTTTAACGTCTTTACATCTACTAATGACATATCGCTGAATTCTCAATATCTGTAATGAAATATACACAAAACCAGCAGAAAAGTCGAGCTCCGATTGGTAAGCAGACGTTTGCAACGTTACATATGCCTCGATTTAGAATTGTCTCCCACTGTCTATTGGACAACGCATTTCTCCTCATGTGTTTCGCTTGCAGATAGATAACATTCCCACAGTTTAAAACACTGTTCAACTCTGCAAACTTCATATCGCGGAGATTTAGATTCATCCGAATAGAGCAGGTGGCACAGACTGCCGTCCGTAATAACTGTCTGTCGTAGTTTAAAAGTATTCACTTGTTTCCATTAATTTCATAAATTTATGCTTACGGCATTTCCATGCTCACTCTTCTAATCACCGTTAATTACTCTCCTTAGACCCCTAAACAAACCTCAGTGTGACTGACTACTCGTGTTTATTCCTCCGAACACTAGTATATCCATCGCTTAATCGGCCACGACGACCTCGAAGATTTTATGTCTACCTGAATTTAACAACGGAAGGCAAACTAAGTTTCTCTCAAAAATCGACAATTTTATGCAGATTTGACACAATTGCTGCCTGGTGAATATCGTCTGAAATGATTTGGCTACTGCTGTAGCTGTTGGTTTTGGTTGACTGCAAAGCATAAACATATAGAGTTATCAGATTACCGTGTGTTTTAATCGTGTAATTATGGAAACGTCGACGATCGATACAAACAAATTTCACTCCATTTACTCAAGGCGCCTTAGTCAAAACTGGTGTTAAGTACTAGATGCATGCTGCGGGGATCTCGCAAATACACTCACCACCGTTTTCACTACATCGCAATAGTCCATGCGGAACTACCGAGCCCTAACCGTCATATGCATCACGATTCCTAAGTCCAAGTCAAACAATTTCAGCGGAAAACAGCAAGACGATCTGAACCAGTGCATTGATGCTTGTGATCGGTGCAGTGTTCGCAACACGCCGATTAAGTTAATGCTCATCACCAGACATCCGAGCTCATAAACTGCGGTGAGTTTTGATTAAATCGATTGACATAAGATCCACAGATGATTCCGAAGCGATAATTTGTCACTATACGCACACCCGTATTTCTGGATGTTCCATGAAACGAAGGCCAGCGGTACCCTGATAATTCAAATAATTAAAGCACGGACAGTATCGTAATGATATTTCTCATTTACATCGTCTTGCAGTTATCTGGAGCTAGAGAATGGGTGTGTCATGCTCACAACCCAAAAGAAGGGTGGTAACTCTGTGCAGCGATGGGTGCTGGCGAAGTCAATCTTCAATCCATTTCAACCATACTGCTGTCGATTTATTACCAAGGCAGTGGCTTGATGATACTGAAGCGCTTGGGTCAGTCAAAACCGATGGCGTTTATATTAATCCACAGCCAGCTGATACTGTGAAACACACTTCCTTGGGAACTACGACTGAAAACAGAATCCAGCGAGTCTTGGTCGCTCGATGTCGTTGCGGTAAAAGCACTATCCGCAAGCCTATATAAACAAGTACTGTATGTTCGACCACAAACTACCGAGAAATCTACCGCTGAACGTCAAACCACATGTGCAGATGGGACCAAACACATTTTATTTATAACGGGATTTTGCAATTCACCCAGAAAATGATTAGGTGCTGACCTCTAAGCGGCCGACATATATTCCTTGTCAAAAGCTTCTGTTGTAAAACATGCTGCACTATATGTACATTTATGCCCACAGATTGCTTGTCCAATATTCCGAACAGCGATTCCGTCAGGGCTGAAAGTCATGCTTTCTGATGGCTATAACGGAGACCCAGTTGCGCTCCAACAGAAATGACCTCAGTCATTAATCACGACCGACATAAAACACGGGATGGAATGGACCTGCAGTGGCCTTCAATTTGAGGCCTTGGAGGATCCGGTCAACGGGGCGCAGTATTCCAATTGGTATCGCTTACGCTTGTGACGTGTTGCTCGTTCTATATTACTTGTAAGTAGCAAGATTTCAGTTGCAACTTGAAGGCATTCATCCAAGTAGCTTACAATCTACATAGCATCGCCTAGTCCGAAAAATCACCAAACGCGTTTCGCCCAATTGGGGCTTAACAGTGGTACCCATTCCCTCGGTCCCGTGCTGGGGATTGAGCCCGTGACCGCTCGAAGCATATGCTAACTAGCCAGTAGCTTAAACCACCGAGCCATTAGGGACTATATTAGGGGCTACATAATCTGCAAGCTAACTGTGACATAGAATTAACCATCTCTCACTGTCACTGACAGTGGCAAGACTGGGAGGTGATGACACATTCAGGCTAGACGGTATAGACATATCAGTTGCAATTAGAAGCGGTTATTTCCATTTTATATTAACCATCAATAGCAGGATGTTATTTGTAATTGTCATTTTATTAATTTTTTACCAACGATATGTCATTATTCTTTGAAGGTGGGTCACATCACCCAAGTGAACCAAATAATTTTTGTACGAAAATTGTACTGTATTGAAGCCTCCTGTTCTATTTGAATAGGCTGTGGAAATCGTGCCTTGTTTAATTTAATTAGGGCGTGTCAGTGGCGACGCGCGAAAACAAATAGCATCGTGGACCCACTTGTTACAATTTGGTTTTCGGCTGATTACAGACCTAGGTAATTGAGCTATACACGGGGAAATAGTTGGTATTTTATTACTTAAAACGACTTACTGTTTAGATTCCCAAAATTGCCATCCCGCAATTCCACTGCTTAAAACGTTTCAGCCAAATGTTGTTACAGAATGAAGGCGATCGAGCAACCCACTACCATAGAAGACAATGACACTATTTTATTTCCATTTTGTGGATCCGTCGGAAAATTGCGTTGCTCAATAAAAGAATACCTCAAGTCCGTTGACGACGTTGTTCTATCCATCGCTTTAGGAGCTTATAGAACAGCCTTCTGGAGAGCAAGTGAAGCTTTGGAAGTCTGCTAGTTGGCCATACGCGCAGGTGACACGCCTACGCCACAACAGCTGACAAGTGCGGACCGCGAGCAGGTTTGAAATCTGTCAAGTGCAAGTGGTTTGAGTTAGTTCCGAAACTTACAACAAATTACAGATTGTAACTGAGAGAACCAATCGTGTCCTGGCACTACAGACGTCATTATAGACTTCAGCTAGAGGTGTAAAACAACTTAGCTACTGTGCAGTAATTCAACGAAGAGAAAATGTGAAATAAATTCACTAGTTGCATGCCAACAGAGCTACCAGCAACGGATTGGCGTCCTTCCTGAATGCTGCCATCTAGCTACCAAAGAACGAATATTGTGCAAAATTCTATTCCTGCTCTGACGCACGAAGAGATCACCAGGATCCGCGGCCTCTCTTCAAGCTACACATAGTTCTGCCCGGAATTGTTGCGAGTTTCGTTATATTCGCTGGAATATGTCTGCG